TTGATGCGCGCCAGTGCTGAGCACCTGGAGCAGGGCTGCTTTCTTATAGATGACTTGCTGTTCTTTAGGACGCGGATCAGTGACATTTCTTTCAGAGCAGTATTTAGCTCTTTTTTGCCACCTTCGTAAACAGAAGAGTTTATTCTCCTGTTTTTCATGGCTGAAAACAAAAGTAATGGTAATTTTGAATATGTGTTTAGAAACCGCCCCTCACCTTGTTGAGGGTCACTGTTCAAGAGTGCAGGAATGGAATCTCCATTGATCTCCAGTCACCCTCTTCATTCTTCTTGTCCTCCCACCACTGGCTGGCTAGCGAGCTCAGTTGGTTTGAGGACTGCTAACAAGCCTGGCTAGTTAGCCTTCTGGGTCAGCCTGCACTCACACAAGTATATGCCCTCAGCCAGAGAGGAAAACGGCCTAAATCCATGACAGCTTCTAAGAAAAGAAGATTTCCAATTTGTCCTATTGATGTTAGGTTAGGAGAATTATCTTTGAAAGTAAAGTTGTGTAAAGTCTCAGGCTTGATAGCAAAAGATTATTTCAGCAATAGAAGTTAGCACTGTAAGGTAGGTTGGACATATTAGACCGTCCAAAGTGACCTGAGCTCTAAAATCCAGGCGGAGAACTCATCATCCTTCGTGCTCTGTGGACAGGTGTCTTGGACATAAGGGGGCTCTTGGTTTTTAGTGAGACCAGAGACCAGGGATGCATACACCTAGGCTGTTCATTGAATGGGAATGCCCCTTAGAAGAATGAAAGTGTTTGGAGGATTGTGGCAGTTCTAGGCTGGGCTTAAGAGATTCAACAGATTAGCTGTAACTAAAACTTAGAATTTGCCGTCTGCCTCTGAATAGGCTTTCCAGTGTGTGTGTCTGTAATTCTTAGGTTTGCCTCTGGGCCTCTACATGCCCAAGCTGGCCTTTCATCCCTGACAGATAAGTAATGAGCTGGCCACCGCTGGCTCTGTAAACCATTGCTGGTTCTCCCATGGCCTTCATCACGGTACAAGGATAGAGAGAGGAGTGCAGGGCAGTTCACATCCACCCCAGGTGGCAGGACTGCCCTGACTTGAGTCATTTCTTTATTTTCTAGGCAAATGATTCAGGTAGAGAGATTCTCTCTTTCCTTTTCGGAGAGCTTTAAAGAGCCCCGTTCCTGTATGCAATGGCTTAGAGCTCGCCCTGCTCATTTTTGGTACCGCCCCCTTGCCTCACATGAAGCCCAGATACTTGGAACTGCTAAAATAGGAAGAGATTCAGCTTTTCAACTTTGCTACTACCTTCCCTCAAGCAGGAAGATTAACATGGACTTACATGTCCTTTGAACAAAAACCAAAGTTTAAGATTTGCCACATGATGGAGTGATAGGGAGGGCCAGACTTTCAGCACTGGCACTCAGCAGGTGCCAGACTTTCTGTTCCATCTGCCACTGATCCGCCCAGCTCAGGCAGCTCTGGGAGTGCTGTCTGGCCCTAGCAGAGCCCAGGCCTCACCCTCATGGAGGATGATTAAAATAGCAGGAACATGTTGATTTCTTGGCTACTTTGCATTATAACAATAAGAATCAGAACATTAATTAGAAATTGTCTTCAACAACTTAACTGTACGCATTTTTTCACACTGGTACATTTTTAAGCGTCCTTGTTTATATAGGATAACTTAAACTAATCTGTCCCTTTCTATATATATGTGTGTGTGTGTGTACATATATACATGTATAAACTGTATAGTGTACATGTTAATGATTTATTGATATGTCCCAAGTCTTTAATGCAGTTCTCATCCTCCGCATGCCCTCAGTTTGTGGTCGGGTGACTTAAATGTTCCTGATGATTCTGCCCACCTCCTGTGTTTGGACGTCTAGGGAGGAGGGGTTTGATGGCACCCTCCTTATCCTCGTGCACAGAAATGCTCAGGGTCCCCGTGTGCCTGTTGTCCAACCCTGTCTTGTCTCTTGTTCCCTATCAGCATGTGGTCCCTCCTTGCTCTGTAACTTCTCTGCCTCCACCCCAAGCTGTTGGTACAAAAGTGTAAAGCAGTATTAAGATCGTTACTGCATGTATGCTAAAAACCCAAGTTTTCTGTTCCCTTGGGACAGAAAATTGCATGTGAGGTGGGATAATCAAGTTTCAATGACCAATGTCGGTTACACAAAAAGCCAGACCCTAGAATAAAATTCCACAAAATGGAAATAAAACTCAAATTTCTTTAGCATTATGTAAATAAATCTGGGTGTGTTTAACTTTGTACTGGTAATTTTCTGTATATTTGCAATATTTGGGTTAGAAATAAAACAGACTGGACTTTGTTACCTGACCTACTAAAATGACTAAGCTACAGTTTGTTAATGTGAAAGCTTTTCCAGTTTTCTAGCTTCAAAAATCAAACTCCAGCAACCAGAGAATAAGTCAGTTAAACAGCCAGGACTATTCATTTATAGCATGTAAGGTATTAGATAATTTATAGGAAAAACTACTCACCTTTTTCTGCTTTATGCTCACAAAGATCTACCTCCCATGGGTATTTGTAAAAGCAGCTTTCTTGTTACTCCGCGAAAGTCTAGCTGAGCCACACCCTGTACAGCTTCTCAGTTTCAACCGCTACACTCTTCCTTCTGCACACAGCAGCATGTCATTACTCTCTTGAATTCCGTGTTCTTCTAGCAGGTTGATAAGTAACACCAAGGAGTTTACCTTCCACACCTTTCCATCTGCCCCTCTTAACGCTTCTCCTGCTGCTCTTACTTGTAGTCCTTCCTGACCCATTTCATTTAAGGACCTTCAAAGAGCTGCAACTTTCCTCCTCCAAAATATTTCTTTTAGGGGAGGTTCCTGCCCACCCCCACTGAGCCTTTAGCCAAGCCTGACGACTGCTCAGCCTTCCGTCCTGGCGGGTATTTCCATTTAATGCTTACTCTGGCGTCATGGGCTAAAGATGACCAGGCAGAGACCTTCCTTGCCCTTGAGGAGCCCATGTCTGCTGGAAGACCCCTCCCCCCGGAGGTTATCCAGGGTGGTTTATTTTCTGGAATTCTATCTAACGTAGTGTTCTAAGACTTCCTGCAACAGAATCAGTAGGTTGTTTTTTTTAAATGCATATCCCACCTAGACCTATTAAATTAGCCTTTCCAATGGATAAGACCCTAGGAGTCTGCCTTGTTTGATTCTTCAGTTGCAACAAGGAGCTAAGACCAAAAGCCTGGGCCAATCTCCTCATCAAAGCATGGATTAATGGGGTATAAGAGGGGGTGTTTGGAGTCCCCTGGTGTACCGTCTGGACTCGTAAGGGCTTTGGCTGGGTCAGACAAGAGAAATAGGTCAAAGAGGCCTTTACACAAATCCTGACATGACACAGCACAGCCTCTCACCACCAGCCCGAGGTCAAGCTCCACAGTCGCCCTCTTCAGTCATCTGAGCTCCTGATAAACAGCTTCCTGGGCACCAGTTGTGTCTACAGGTTGTCCTAGCCCTCAGTCCCTATACAGGTTGCAAAGATGAGTTCTGGGCTTCTGTCCCACACCCCAAGATAGTAATAGGCTCCCAGGATCCTAATGACTGCCCCCAACTTGAGGGCTAAAGGGGAAAAATGAGTAAGGAGCTCATTCATTCAACCATACACATTTGTTTCCATAAAAAATAAAGGAGAGGAGGGGAAGGGGGGAATGTGGGAACTCTACTTTCCACTCAACTTTACTGTGAACCTAAAACTGCTCTTTAAGTCTACTTAAAGAAAAAAAAAAAAAAAATATATATATATATATATTTACAATATATATATATATATATATATATATATATATATTCACAGAGGGGATGCCAGCTTCTGGAGATGAGAAAGTAGAGTATGATAGGAAACCAGATTGATTGGATGGAGTGCATGGAACATATAAATGATGGTCTGGTGAGCCTAGAAATCACATAGGACCTTTAGTATGTAACACCTACTGTGCTCTGGCCACTTTCATATACTTTTACCATTTTATCTTCAACACAATTGTGGCATCATCATCCCTTGTTTCATGGACCAGGGACCTGAGGTTCAGAGTAAGTGATTTTCCCAGGGTCACCTAGCAAATGAGTGAGTAGTAGAGCCCAGAGTCACACTCAAGTCCTCTAACCTTATGCTCCTGGCTCTCCCCTCCATCACTGCTGCCTCTCACTTAATTTGTACTTTATCTCATAGGCAAGGGAGCTTTGAAAGGGACAAGTGCTGGCCCAACCTAAAAATAGCTTACATCTATCGAGCACTTAGGCGGCTACACTCTGCTAAGCACTTTACCCAGATTACCCCTTTGAATCCTCACAGCAACCCTATGGCTGTTATCTCCACTTCACAGATGAGGAAACAGACCTGAGAGTGACTGTGATGTGTGGTTACAAGTCGCACAGACAATTGGTGATGGAGCCAAAGTGAGCCGGGGGGTGTGGCTCCAGGGTGCAGACCCTGCCCTGCACTGCCACGGGGGGAGTGGAGAGGATGTGGCCGCCCCCATAAAGGCCGAGCTGGCGAGACTTTACAACTCAGCGCATGTGGGAGCAGAGAGGGAGAGACCACCTAAAGGTGTGCCTGTGAATCAGCTAATCCTGGGGCCCCTTCCTTGGACCTGGACACCCTTGGATGAGCTGGAGGTCAGGAGCCGAGATGTCACCCAATCCTCCTGCCAGAAGGCCCCATTTGGGTGATCTGGGTGGGGAGGGGCTGTTTGAAGCTCAAGCGCTCTCCCTCTCTGGTGCTGTGAGAGAGGTGTCGTCTCTCTCCCAAGATAACAGGACTACCCGGTCCTCCTCCTGCAGCTATTCTGGGCTGCGGTCCGCTCCCTGCTCTTCCCCTAGCCCCTGCTTCAGCCATCTGGGAGTAGCTGGGTGGGAACAGGCTAGCCCTGTTACTTAACCCTGTGGCTGGGACCCTGGGGAGGCCGGGCTGGAGAGCAGGCGCTCAGCCCCTCCCTCGCCACCAACAGTGAAAATCTTCCTCTGGAGCCCAGCCTTGGGGTGGCCCAGCATGGAGGCAGCCACAGCTCTGGAGGTGGCCTCGGATCCACACTGAAGGTGAAAGAAGCCAGCCTAGCCCATGCTGACGCTTCACTCGGCGGGGGGCCGTCAGCCCCATTCCCCAGCTCCTGCCCCCCACTGAAGGTGATCCATGGGGATGAGGAGTGAGCGGTGGGAGTTGGGAGGATGTGCTACCGCCCTGACTGCATCTCCGTAGGTTTTGCGTATCTAAATGGTTTCATGGGATTGGTACTTAGGATGGGGGAGCATCCATTGGAGCCCCCACCCCCTTCCTTGGTGGATTCTAGCTTGCCGCTCAAATGTCTCTGTTGGGTCTTTGCTTTTTACCTGGCACTGCAATTGGCCGACACTGAGCTTTTAGTCAAGAAAGACTGCTCCATGGCTAAATAAGGAGAAGTAGGTGTTTGGCACTGGGAAACCATCCTCTGTCACTCTCAGCACTATACAGAGGCACTGTGTCCTGGAGGCAACGCTGGGCAGGGGCCAGAGGAGAGCTTTTGAAAGAGTGAGAGCCATGGGACAGACTGCACCCTGACATGGAGAAGACGGGACCCTGAGACCCAGTGGGAGGACCTGTCTGCTTATCTCAGCTCGATTGCTTCCAACTGACCCTGTGTCCTCTTTCAGTCTATACTGTTCTGTGTCTTCCAGGCTTGGGAAGCTGAATCCCTAGCCTTGAAGTGACCATCCTCCCCTCCTCCCTCCCACCCTCCCACTGTCCCTTCTTATCCTTTCTTCCTACTAAAAATATTTACTTTGTGTCTATTATGTGCCAGGCACTGTTACAAAAATGCACAAAATAGGCAAAAATAACTTCCCTTGTGGAGATTACATTCTATGTAAGGAGAGAGATAATAAATAAGCAAATAAAATATATAAAATATCAGAAATGATAACTGCTATGCTGAAAAATAAAGCAGAGAAAGAGGAGCGTATAAAGTGCTGGGGTGGGAAGTGTACTTACTGTTTCAAGCAGGATATTCAGTGAAAGTCTTGTTAATAAGGTGATCTGAGCAGCAACTTAAAGGAGACCAGAGGGCTTCCCTGGTGGCGCAGTGCTTGAGAGTCCGCCTGCCGATGCAGGAGACGCGGGTTCGTGCCCCGTTTCGGGAAGATCCCACATGCCGCGGAGCGGCTGGGCCCGTGAGCCATGGCCGCTGGGCCTGCGCGTCCGGAGCCTGTGCTCCGCAAATGGGAGAGGCCACGACAGTGAGAGGCCCGCATAACGCAAGAAAAAAGATCAGTTTGTTTAACTCAGTCCACAGGCTAGAAAGGAACTGAATCCCACTACCCAGGGACCAGCAAGCACTGCCCCTGGTCTGTTTGACCAGGAGGGTTGATCGACTAGGGGAAAAAAAAAAAAAAAAAAAAAAAAAAAGGAGACCAGAGAACAATGCATGCAGATATTGAGAGTGAAGGTTTTCCACAGAGAGAACAGTAAGTGCAAAGGCCCTGAGGCAGGAGTGTGTGTTATGGATTGGGGCCACTGTGGCTGTAGCAGAGTGGGGGAGAGAATAGCAGGTTTGGGGTCAAAGAGGTAGCAGGACCATTGTGAACACTGGTTCAACCCTGAGACAGATGGGCAGCCAACGCAGGGTTTTAGGTGAGATCTGGCATGATCAGGTGTCGGTTTTAAGACTTTTCTGGCTGCTGAGTTAAGAATAGGCTATAGGCAGGCTTTAGACACTAGCAAGATTGTCAACTGAGAATAAGGATTCAGGAGAAGGTATGAAAGTTTTAGAGGAGGGTGTACAGCAGTCACCCAGGAGAACAGGAGATTGAGTGAATTAGGGGAGTCTGGCAGATCTGCCAGGGTCCATTTGGAGACAATGGCTATCAATTTAAAGTCAGCATAGTTTTGTAATATTTTTCCCCAGTCGTGTTTGGCTGTGTGGATGCAGACACTGAGGGGGTGTATTTAACTGGGGCTGGGTATTGCTAGGAAGTGGAAAAGGATTAGGGCTTTGAATGGGTATGCAAGGGAGTGAGTCTAACGATGACCATGGAATCTAATTTGGGTGGGAAAGAAAGTGATAACATGGAGGGGTGATGGAGAGTGGAGGGGTGGGAAGATAATGGATCAGAGGTCTCAGTGGGCTGAAGGATCACTGCTGGTGGATCTTTAGAGGAAGGGAGCTGAAGGGATAGAGACTGTTCATTAGGTTATGCGAGTTGATAAAACAGACCTCAGAATTTAAGGCTCAAATACAATAGATGTTTATTCCTTACTAGCAAAACAACTAAAAGCAAGCGTTCCTACTCAGCAGATAGTTCTCCAGCACTAATTCAGGGACCTGGGCCTCTTCATCTTGCGGCTCCGCCATGCCTTAGGGCCCCGTGATCATCTGCATGCAGCTAGCAGATGGGAAATAGAGAACTCATTCATTAAAAGCCTCGACTCAGAAGTGATTCTCATCACTTCCACTCACATTTCACTGGCAAGAACTAGTCTCACTGTCATATAGCAAGTGGGGCAGCTCCTTCTCAGAGATCCCTATACTATGGAAGAGATAATATGTACAAATTGTTGTGAGCAATTAGACATCCCTGTCATGGAGGTGGTGCTGAGAGAGTGGGACGCTTGAAATTCAGATTCTAGAGTGGCTATAGTTATTGGTCTAGACAATGACCAAAGGAACCATGGGCTGAAGCAGGGGAGGACAAACTCATTGGAGGAGTGGCAGGCAAGGCTGGGAGCAGCCCTGCAGGGACTGGAGGTCTGGGTGTTGAAATGAGCAGGAATCATGACTGGAGAAATGTTGGAGAAAGTGACACTGAGCCAGGGCTACCGTCATCAGCATGAGGAGGAGACTGCCACAAGGGGAGAGGGTGATGGAGTCTTTTCCTCAGAGAAGTATTGCCTATTTCTATGTCCTTTTATTTTTTCTGACCTTAGTTTTATGGCCTTCAAGGAAGTGACACTCTTGTCCTTCACAAGGTTTTTGGGTTTTTTTTTTTGAAGTCACCACATTTCTTTCCCACCACACTCCTCCAGACAAGTTTCTGATAAGGTCAAGGCCACACCCCATGCATCTGCTAATGCTTCTGTAAGAAATGCTGGTATTTTTTGGATCCCTGGAAATCCCTGGGTTTTTTGGGAGCCATAGCTTGCCTTGTGCATTTGCCCTCTTTTGGTAACTGTTCACTCACACAGGCCTGTGCATGTGTGTGCACACATGCACACGAACTCGCAGTCTTGCACACTCACACACGCACACACTCCTCCACTCTTTCAATGTGTCTATCTTGTTCCTTCATTCTCTGGGCCGTAATTAATACCATCAATCTGAACTACACAGACCTTAGGGAATCGCTAGCAGAAAGTCTTTAGCCATGTGAAACCAGGTTATGAGAGGATGGGAACAATTATTTCCCACGAGCAGAGAATAAGGAGATGGGCATGAACCTCAGCAGGATGAAATTCGGTAGAATTAGGAAGGATTTTCTAATCAAGAGAAGTCGAGATCTCTGGACTTTAAGTAGTTTCCTCTCCACTCCTTTTTAAGACAGTATTCTGTCTGAGAGAAATTCAGTGCTGAGAGCAACACAGCTCAGAAGCCAAGGGCTCTCAAAGGACTTTTCAAAATGTCTTTTACCTAAGACTCCATGAAGGGAGAAAATCTTATAGACAAACTGCGGCTGTCTCAGACCTGGTCTTAGAAACCCGAGGTTCTGCTTTAGGGCTGTAGCCTTTGGTTCACATCCCTCCTGGCATATGAGGAGGAGAAAGACCTTGGGCATCAGGGAAAGCCATGTTTCTCCAAGGTCAGTACAATTAACACCTCGCTTGACTGTGGATGTGTGAAAAGAGATGTCCCAGATGAGCCCTCCTATTAACACTCTTAGCAAGGGATCAGATTGCTCTTGTTTGCTGGGCAGATTCAAGGCCTGGGGTGTGCTGGGGAAGAGCTTGCTGCAGCCCAGGCACCTGGAGCTGTCACACACTCTCTGTCACCTCCCATATTTTGTCAGCGGCTTTAGCCTTAAGCCCATCCTCTGCCCTCCCACTGGGGCTGGGAGACTGCTGAGAGCAGAATCCTCGCCTACTAGTCCTCAGACTTGGAACATTCTAAATAGTAAATTAAGTTTGTCCCCTACTGATTCACCATCTTGTCAGGGAATCCCACTTCTAAGCAAAGAACTGGCCCAGGAGCCCTCCAGGGAGGAAGAATCCACCATCCTGGCTGTCAGCCTTTCTCCTCTGTCTCTGCCCCCTGCTGGCATCCCCTCTGGATCTCAGGGCCATTCTGCTCATCCTCCTCCTAATCCCCCCATCTTAGCTTACGTTCCACATAAACTTCTTTCTTTCATTTTTCTCCTTAGTTCAAGTGAAACAATGCTAACCTTTTCCAAGATACTTTTCTAGGAAAGACTAAGTGGGAACAAATACTATATACATCAGCATGCACCAACCTATAGAAGCCCCCTTCCTACCTGAGGTGTAAGCAGAGCAGGGCTCAACTGGTACCTCTTCCAGGAGTGACAGCCTGGGTTCCTTTCCTCACATCAGCCTTTTTAATCCTTGAGTGTGGCCCCCTGCCTTCCCTTCTTGGCCTCTTCCCTCCAGGGGCAAGATCACTGCAGGAGCCCTGACTGTGGTGCCCAGTCCCAGGTGGACACTGAAGGGCAGGTAAGTGGACAGATATGCTGTCATGCTCAGAGAACAGGTCCTTCAGACACACGTTCCTAGACGGTGCCAGCACAACTTCACAACCAGCCGTGAGGTCAACAGCAAAGCTGTTTCTCTCTCCCAGCCCTTTCCTTCCAGTCTTCTCCTTGCTCTGGGTGCTCACCAAGGTCCTTGCTAACTCAGAGGTTCTGTAGGCAGAGCAAGGGACAGCAGAGCTGGCTTCTCCCCAGCCCTCTCCCCGGCAAGCGTGAAGTGTTAGGTCCCCACTTTAGCAGTGGGGAACCAAGCCCAACAAGATGAGGTTTTGACCCTCCTTTTGAATTTTTTGCAGAAAACCCTGAAGTCATATCCGCCTGTTCTCAACTCCTTGGTCGCTTGCCAAGATAGCCACAGGAAAGGAACACATCACACAACACTTCTTCTGTTCTTCATGCTCCGCCTCCACCCAAACTGCCAAAGTCGAACAGAGGGCAGCCGAGCAGGGTCATTCAGCTGCCTGGGCTCCGAGCTGGGTCCTTGCTGAGGCCTCAGGCCCTGGGCCGTACGGGCAGGACAGCGCTCAGAGCACTGGAGGCCCTGTACCACGCAGTTCCCACTTCTGTCAGGGTAGAGGGGTGAGGCGCAGCCTAAGACAGCACAACCCAGGTTAAAACGTAAGCCACATGGTGAAAAAGGAAACTAGGTAAATAAAATGGACAGCATGCACTGAATATTTCTGTCTATATTCATCCACAAAGCCCAAGTTATCTCGAGATGCTAATCAGGGCGGACTACGGAAGTTCCTGGTCTCTAAACAACGATCTACAAACTGAGGTATAGGAAGAGCTTCGTAGACCCTTCGTTTATTTTATTTTCAATTTCACCATTCAAATTCTGCATTATGTAATGTACATTTTAAACAGTTCAATTTGTAAGTAAACATACATACATTGGGGTGAATATTCAGGGATGTATTTACAGGGAAATGTGTGTTATCAAAAAGTTTGGACTCTGCTATCAAGCTGTTTGCCACAGTTGTGTGCTGGGGTGGAGTTCTTCCAACTGATAGGAATGAAGGAGCCGGGAGGCTGGGGAGTTGGCGGGAACTGAGACTGTCTCACTCCCTGTAAGACTACAGCAGCGGGGGACTGTCTCTGCCTGAGAAAGGAGGAAGCAGTAGCACCAGAAGCCTGGAAAATGGAGTAGATTTCAGCCAGGACCTGAAAGGAACCCAGGTGGGATGTTTGCACTTCCTCAGCCAAGGCTGCCGGAGGCATCCTGAGAGGAACTTACACCTGGTCATTCCCCAAACTTACACTCAGCACTTTCCTGAGCATCTCCTGTCTTCATCCTGGAAGCCAATAAACATAATCTAATCTCTCTTCTCACTGGAACACGCCTGGAAGATCAAGGGGGAGTAAGCAGTGGACCTAATCTTTCCCAGATTCTGACTGTACAAAGTGATCCTCCACAGACTGGAAGACACTGTGCAGGCCCCTGAACAGGGCAGCCCTGCAGAGAAGGGACCAGACGCCAGCTCCCTCTGCAGTGACATCAGTGCTGTCCTGGTGGGGCCAGGGTGTGTGCAGAATATAAAGATTTCTCCTCGGGGTCTGGCACCAAACTGGGCAGCGGGGCGGACACTTGGGGGTCAGGATTGACATTGAAAGTGGCCTTGAAAAAAGGAGTGTTGTTGAGGACAAATGTAGAAAAGGCGTGGAAAGACAGACCACTCGGACTGGACTGGTCTGTGCACAAACAAGAAATCTCAGTTGATGAAAAGTCGATGGTGGAGAGTTACCAATTAAAAGAAGTAGGTGTCAGGCTCGCGCTTCAGTGCTCTTTCTGCTGAGACTAACTCTCTCTACAGGATCCCACAGCTGGTTGCTTATCCCTAAATCCCAGTGAGACAATGGGAGCTATCTTCCCATTCCCCGAGAGAGGGCTTAATTTGCTGAGTGTTGCCTGGGTCACCTGGCCATGGAGCACAGCTAGATGCAGCATCCACTTCTACGTCCTCTAAGCTCTCCTCTTCCCCGCAGGGAGGCTCACCACCTCGTTCTCTCTCTTTCCATCACACAGAGCACCCCAAGATCTGGCTACCTCAGGCCCAGAGGCAGACCTACGTCCGGAAGGTTGGAGACACTCTGAATCTACTAATCCCGTTCCAGGTGATCATGACAGCCCCACGTTGAGTCCATGACTGGAGCCAGGCCAGGGTTTTGATTTGGAGACAAAAAACAAGAGTCCTGCTAGCAGTGGGACAGTCGTCCTAGCCTTGGATGGAAGGGGCATGTCACCAAGTGTGAGGCCAAACAGCCCTTCCATCAGCACTCCTGCGGGGTGTTGGGGTCAGGTCAGGTGGGGCATGCCCAGGTGATGTAGTAAGGCTAATCCATGCCCTTCAGTCAGCAGGGGTCTGGGAGCTCTCAGTTTGGAGGGCTCTCAGGAGTTTGGGCAGCTAATTTTAGTCCCAGCTGCCCTGAGTGTCCATGACCTAGACTCTCAGAGGCAGGGAGACTCAAAGCCATCCCCCTTTCCCATGATCTTGAGACTGTTGCTGAGAGATGGAAGTCCGCTGGGACAGTCCACCAACCTCTCACTCAAGGAATTTGCAGCTGCGAGTCAAGTCACCACGTGGACCTGGTGGATCTGACCCCTGTTGCAGCCGGGAGGGGCAAAAGGCCTCTCGGGGCAGCTCACAGCCTTCTCCCCATTTCTCAGAGCAAACCCCAACCTCAAGCCATCTGCACGCATGACGGCTGTGCCTTGGATGCCAGTCATGTGAGCATGCGGAATGGGGAGCGGGACTCCAACCTCTTCATCCGAGAGGCCCAGTGTGCTGACTTGGGTCACTACCAGCTCCATGTGCAGCTGGGCAGGCTGGAGGCCACTGCCACCACTGACACCCTGGTGATCGGTACAGTGGGGGGAATGGGAGATGACGTGGTCCTCGGGGGCTCCCACCCCAGCCTGAAGAGGAATCAGCACAGAGAGCCAGGGAAGCGGGGCTGTGGGACGCAGTGGTGGGTGAAGGGAGGGGTGGCCGAGCAGAAGCGGAGGGGCCCCTCCTGGTAATGTCCTGGCGTGTGAGGCGTGCCATGCCCACTGCCATGCTTGGCCCTTTCAAAGAGGCCAGGCTCTCCTCAGAGTATCAAGTTGGTGGATGTCTGGGGCTCCAGCGCTACACTGGAGTGGACTCTGCCCCAAGACACGGGAACGTACTCCTGGGATATGCGGTGCAAAAGGCTGACACCAAATCTGGGGTGAGGCCCAGCTGGGATGGAGGGAGGGAGGAACAGCACATTCTGGAATGGGGCTCTGGTAGTTCCATGCAGTAGGCTGGGGTGGAGTGAGTTGCCAAAACATGGGTCTCATTCCAGGCATCTTCCGGGGCCCCACAGCTGTGGCTCACGGTGCTGGAGCGCTATCACCGTGCCAGCTGCACAGTCTCCAACCTCATCGTCGGCAACTCCTATGCGTTTCGAGTCTTTGCTGAGAACCAGTGTGGGCTCAGCCAGACAGCCTCTGTCACTGCCGACCCGGCCCACATCCAGAAAGCAGGTAAAGCACCGAGACTCGGAGCTGGGAAGAGTTAAGGAGAAAGAGTTGAAGACGGATGGGGCTCTCAGGCACTACACCAAGGCCCTTCTTGGTCCCCTCAGCTACTGTTTACATGACCGAGCGGTTTGTCCAGTGAGATTTCTCAGAAGCCCCGAAGTTCACCCAGCCTCTGGCAGACTGCACTACAGTCACTGGCTGTGACACCCAGCTCTTCTGCTGCGTCCATGCCTCCCCCAAGGTGAGCAAGGAGGTCTGTGGGTGGCTGTGCTGCTTTCTGCTTCTGCTCTAACCTTAGCTGTGTCGAAGAACATTCTAACCAAAACATTTGTTCCCGTCACCATCATCTGTCTCTTCCACAGCACATTACATAGGAACACTCAGGGCACTGGTGTCCAAGACAGGCTGATGTGGATAATGTTTCCAGTTTTGCTTTTAGTGTTTGTTCCTCATATATGAAGATGTCACTTAATGACCCGCTGGCAACTGGGCACGAGATTCAAAGCTGTCTCTCTGGCAGGGGGGCTGGAATCCTGTTGGCTGCTCCTGACTCACCCCCCTCATCTTTATCTTCCAGCCAAAGATCATCTGGCTAAAGAACAAGATGGATATCCAAGGCAACCCCAAGTACAGAGCCCTCACTCACCTGGGAATCTGCTCCCTAGAAATCCACAAGCCTGGCCCCTTTGACGGGGGCATCTACACCTGCAAGGCCGTTAACCCCCTGGGGGAGGCGTCAGTAGACTGTCGGGTGGATGTGAAAGGTCCGGGCAGAACTCGCACCTTAGGGTGCAATCACCTCCTCTCTCCACAGGTGGGAAAGTCGAGGGCAGAGACACAAGCCTAGATGGAGAAGGGCTCAGGTTGCTTCCCCTTCAGGCCTTCTCATCACTGTCATCATCAGGATGTATTTTAGGAGCCATTTTTATCATCCACTCCTCATTTCTCTCCATCATAATTCTGTAATATAGGAAGAATCACTATTTCCACTTTGCAAAGGAGAAACCTAAAGCACAGGGAGGTGATTGATCAGTTTACCTGCAATTTCCAGTGCTGGTTAATTGAGGAGTTGGCACTATGGTGGAAAAGAGGCCAAGTCTGCTGGACCTTACCCAGATCATTTTTCATTAAACTATACAATCTGACTCAATCCAGGAAAGCTGTAGCTTTTTATTGGGCTTTTAAACAAACCAGAGGACTTTCGTCTCTAGTTGGTTAAAAGGGAATATTGCATGTCCTCTCTACCGCTTTTAAAGTATTCATTCATTTATCCATTCCTGTCCCCTTGCTCAGATTGCCATTATTGCATTTAGAATATTGTTTTATAATTATCTATTTACTGATCTGTTTCCCCATAAACTGTGAGCACTGTGAGGGCAGGGACCATCTTATTCACCTTGTCCCCCAGTGTCCAGCCCAGTTTCTGGTACACAGTGGGCACTTTCTAAGCATGTGCAGCATGACTCAGGAATGAATGGGCCATTACATGTCCTATTCTTCCCTCCGCATAGACTCCTAATTAGCACCATGGACTCCCCCGAAACCTGGAAGTATATCCCTTCTCGATGCTCTGAAAGGTTTCCCAGAGATTTCTGAGATGTTAAAACGGAGAGATGTCAACACAGAGAGATGTCTGAATTTTGCAGCTCCTAATTGAGGCACGCTAAGCAGACATGGGCAACTCTGAGGAAGGTAAGGAGAGGTACAGGGGATCTGAATGGAGTATTTCATGTTTATGGCTAGTGTTGCTGAGTCTGAGACAGATATATATTCCTGAGCCTTTCAACCATACACTCACTGGCAACCACTTTTCTTTTAACCACTTTTTTTCTTGTAAGTGAACACTATCATCTGTGGAGGGAATTTACCATAGATGAGGTCTACTTTTGTCACATCCTCTATGTATCTGTACTCCTCAAGTTGATGACAGGAATTAAACCTAGCGGCCCTCTGAAGAAGAGTGATAGCATCTACCTAACTGTAAGGGGGTTTTGTGGGAGGGAGTGAGCAGGTGCTGTAAGAAAAGGTGTCAAGGAAAACAATCAGGAGTGGAGGATGGCCGAGGTCACCACCACCATCACAAGGCAGAAAAAGAGAGAGGAAGGTGTTCCTATCAATTAAGTGTTTCTACCTCAGTATCTTAAGCATGGTGAAAACCAGATGAGTTTGCTTCCTTTTTACTTTGAAGATTTTGGATTCCTTCCCTTCCAAGAGAAGAAAACCACTGTTATCATTATATGTCAACAATAATTGAACATGTGGGGAATGTGGTCCCAAGTAGCACGTTACTGGCAAAGGGCAACTCAGACCATCATTTAGAATTTGATAACTCCTTCAGACTCTAAATCACTCACAGCAGAAATGTTGTGTACAAACTGATGAGTGGGGTGAAAAGGAAGCTCATGAGAGAATTAAAAAGAACTGGTTCCCAACATCTCCTCTGACTGGTCAATGAAACCCAAGAATTAATTCCATCCCAGAAGCCATTTATTTAAGCCTCTCACTGATCTTTAGCAAATGAAAGCCTTGACGGATGCATTAAAAGTACAAGCTTCTGGGCTTCCCTGGTGGCGCAGTGGTTGAGAGTCCGCCTGCCAATGCAGGGGACACGGGTTTGTGCCCCGGTCCAGGAAGATCCCACATGCCGCGGAGCGGCTGGGCCCGTGAGCTATGGCCGCTGAGCCTGAGCCTGCACGTCTGGAGCCTGTGCTCCACAACGGGAGAGGCCACAACAGTGAGAGGCCCGCGTACCAAAAAAAAAAAAAAAAAAAA